ATACATACATACATACATACATACATACATACATGTGTATTAATAGTAGAATTATATGGATTGAAGAATTGGAAAGAACATGAGAAGTACTTTAAATGTATAAATGATTGTGATTGGTATTAAAACTGTATACAGAGATATTGAATAATGGAAGAATGAAGGATGAAATTCTGATTTAATTAAGGAAATATGAGTAACAAAATAGGTGAAAAGCACGTCTTTGAATTTATAGCAATATGAAGGGGGGAAGTTAAAATAGGGATAGAAAATAGAGGGGAACAATAGTAATTATATATTAATATGTTACAATATATAAAAGGACAGAAAGAAGGTTTAGAAATTAAGGACAATAACAAAAGGCATGTATAAATAATATGAAATAATGGACATGAAATGTAATGTTTAGGAGTAATAAGATTATGTTTATGGGTACTGAAATGTATGATACCCAGATAGCACACCATTCACATAGTGATATTTATGAAGAATATGAAAAATAAAAATTTGATTGGGGAAAAAAAAGGAATTCTCTCCAGAATTTAGTGGTGAATTGAATGCCTCTGTCGGAGATTATCCAGCAGGACACTCTGTGCAGTCAGTAGATCTGCTTGATGAATATTTTAGCCAGTTTCCTGGCCGAGGGTAACCCGGAGCAGGTAGTAAAGTGGGCTTGCTTAGAGAATTTGTCAATTACAGTCCAGATGACTATTCCCCCTGCTCTCTGGGAGCTCGACTACAAATTCCATAGCAATCTCCTCCCAGGGCCAGCCTGGGTCAGCTACTTGTTGGAGAAGTCCAGGAGGTCTTCCTGGTCTCATCTTCATAGTGACCCAAGTAGCACAACATTTTACATAGTCCTCCACCTCGGCTTTCATCTTCGGCCACCAGAATTCCCTCCGGGCTAAGTGGAGGGTTTTTAGGAAGCCGAAGTGCCCAGCCAGTCGAGAGTCGTGGCTGCGTTCACAGAGCACATCTGTGAATTGCGGCTTTCTGGATAGTGCGCCTGCTAGCAGGTTTTTCCCCCCTGGGATGTACTTTAGCTCAAAGTTGAACCATTTCAAATACTGCACCCAGTGGACTTGTTTGGGGACACGCTTTCGGGGGGGGGGGGGTCTTTAGGGCCTCAAGGATTTTGTGATCAGCCAGCCCTCAAAAGGCACTTTACTCGCCTCTAAGAAATGTCTCCAGGAAAGGAGAGCCCAGCGGACTGTATAAGCCTCCTTCTCCCATATTGCCCACCGTTGGTGGGTTTTTTATACACATACGTGCAGGGCAAGAGCTGACCCTGAGGGTCCCTTTGCACAAGCACCGCTGCCATGGCTACAGCGCTGGCATTGGCTTGAACGATGAATGCTCAGGGTTGGGGTGCTGAAGAATCGGCACCTTGGCAAAGAGTCTTTTTAATTTTTTGAATGCTTTTTGGCAATCTAGCGACTAGGCCAGAGGTTGGTTTCATAAGGGAGGGGGTGTTTTCAGTAGTTCCATCAGGGGTAGGGCTACTTCAGCAAAAGCTGGAATAAAACTTCTATAGATTGCGAACCCCAGGAAGCAGTTGCTTGCAGGTGCATGGGGGTTGCCAGTCCAGCACCACTTTCACTTTCTCTGGATCCATCTCAATCCCCTCATTTGACACTCAGTAGCCCAGGGAGTCAAGGGAAGTCTTATGTAACTCGCATTTGGAAAGCTTCGCATACAGCTTCGCAGCTAGGAGTTCTTTCAGTATCTGCCACACTAATTTAACGTGTTCTTCCAGTGTCTCACTAAATATGAGAATGTCATTCAGGTAGACTAGGACCCCCTTGTGCAGATGTTCATGCAGCACCTCTTTGATTAGCTGCATGAATACTGTGGGGGGCCCTTGGAGCCCAAACGGCATGACCTTAAATTGGCCAGCAGGCAGTTGAATGCTGTCTTCCATTCATCCCCTTCCTTAATCCGTACCCAGTAGTAGGCTTCTCTTAGGTCCAGCTAGGTGAACACCTTGTCCTTCGCTAAATGGCTAAGCATATCTTTCATTAAGGGGAGGGGGGTAAGTATTCTCCATGCACACAGCATCAATTCTGCGAAAATCCACGGAAAGCCTGATCNAAAAAAAGACTTGCTGCGCTTTCTGTCAATATCCAGTGTAGGTAGAATGAATGCTCTGCCATGAGGCCATACTTACTTCTGGAAGTGCAGGTAATCCTCCCGTTGCCTTCGCCGAGACACGTGCAATCCACCATCATCCAGCCCTGATATGGCTTTTCCCAAACATCTCCAACAACATACGATGTCCCAGCTGCATTATCATAGCATCGCTCGGCTAAGGGGAATTAATTTTCAAAGGTGAAAAAGAAAAATAACCTCACAGCACTGTTTTCTTTACAATTTCATCAAGGAAAGAATTAAATTTCTTAATTAGGAAAAAAAACGAAATGCTTCCATAATTTTTTGCATTTGGTTAAAAACACAGCATGCAGAAATTTGGCAATTCAATGAAATAGAATTTTTTAAGTGTTTGCAACATTGGTTTGCTGACAGCTGTTTCATTTTATGCTCCTTTTGAAGGAACAGCTATATTTGAGTATATAACTATATATAGGGTTATATTTTGAAATGATCTGAAGAATTTTCTGTTATATCAATAAAGCACATCAAACTTTGGCGCATGACTCTCTTAACTAAGTATGCCCTTCCCTATCAAAAAAATCTAAAAACCAGACAGCAGGGGACAGATTAACCTAGGCATCTTCTCTGTGGCATAATTGTATTCTGGATGAATTTGTTTATTATCTATGGAGAGATATTCAGGGATATTCAGCAGCAGGGATATGCAAAAGTCCAGGTAAATTTTGCTCATGTATGCATGTTTTGAGTATTTTTATATATCAACTGAAACAAAAATTTAAAAAATGTTATCACAAAGAGTCATCTGAAATTGCAACTGAAATACTTTTGATCTCTGAAATGCATAAAAGAAAACTAAATCATACCAACTGGTTTGCAAGTCCATTCACCCTTTCCATTGCCAAGACAGACGCATTCTAACATGAAGCCTCCTGTCTCATGAGGCCTGCGCCAGGTATCACCAATTTTGTAAGACTGGCCACCTTCATGACATCGATCTGAAAAACAAAGCATAGGAAGCTGTTTTTTCAAGTGATGTATCTACTTGAATGTAGTGTACGTAATAGTTCAGCAACTCTTTAAGATTGCCCAGTTATATTATAATAAAGTCTTGGATCCCTTCATCCATTTCAGCGTTGGACAATTCTTCATAATGTGGACAGCCATGAAAAGCAGCGAGTTTCTTTTCCAATATGAATGTCCCTGGAGCAGCGATGGTGAACCTTTTTTGGCTCACATGCCATAAGTGGGGGGAGCGCAGGAGAGTCATGCGCGGGAGTGCCACACCCATAATGCAATGTGCTATACCCCCCGTGTGCATTCGCGCATGACAGGCACGACCCTCCATTTTTTGCATGCTTTTTTCGCCCTCCCCAGGCTCCAGAGGCTTTATAGGAGCCTGGGGAGGGCGAAAACAGCCTCCCCCGCCCTGCCCCACCCCGGAACGCAAAAAGCCGGCTCTACAGGCAAACCGGAAGTTTGGGGACAGACTTCCGGTTTGCTCATAGGGCTGGTTTAAGCCCTCCGGAGCCTTCAGGGGCCTTCCAGAGGTTTCCCTGAAGGCTACGGAGGACAAAAAATGACTCAACAGACAAACCGGAAGTCACTTCCGGTTTGCTCGTAGGGCTGTTTTCAGGGGCCTCCGGAGGCTTCCGGTTTGCTCATAGGGGCATTTTTTGTCTTCCAGAACCTTCAGGGAAGCCTCCGGAAGACCCTGAAAGCTCCGGAGGGCTTAAACCGGCCCTACGAGCAAACCAGAAGTCCATCCTCGAACTTCCGGTTTTTCCATAGGGCTGTTTTTTTGCACTCTGGAGGCTTCAGGGAGGCTCCGGAGGGCCTCCAGAGGGGGAGGCTCTTTTTGCCCTCCCCAGCCTCTTATAAAGCCCGGGGAGGGCAAAAAATGGCTTTAAAAAAGGCTGGACTCAGCTGGCCAGCGCGCACGTGCCTCACGTGCCCTGACAAATGGCTCCGCATGCCACCTGTGGCACGTGTGCCATAGGTTCGCCATCCTGGCCGTAGAGTCTAATAACTATAACATGCCATTTTCCTCTTGTTTCAGAAGTCTTCCTAATTTATTAGAGATGTTAAAAACATTTGGATTATAAAGTATAGAACTATAAGAAAAGTTGAACCGCACTTCCCTTCATCTCTCATATTGACTATACTAATTAGGATTGCTAGAAATTTAGGTCAGACATTTGGAGTCATCTGCAGAAGAGTTTCATCCTTGCTTTACAATTAGGTCAAAGTTCTGACATGTAATAATGAAAAATACCACATTTTTCAGACTATAAGATGCTCCAGACTCCATCACTAGGGAACAATGCAGCCTTTGCTGCCAAGCAGCTGGTTGGCAATTGGATTTGCCTCTGGAATACCTCCAATCATTTGTTCTAGCCACGGGGATCGCCGCCACTGCCCATTCGCTTCAAGTGGCGGCGAATGGTGGGGCAGCGAACAGGCAGCAGTAATAGGCGGCAATCCCCACTGCCTAGAACAGCTGATTGGCACCGCACTAACACCACCACTGCCGCTGCAATATTTGCTCTATAAGATGCATAAACATTTCCACCCACTTTTGGGAGGAGGGGGAAGTGCATCTTATAGAAAATATGGTAGTCTTTCAAGAAAAACATTCACAGAGCAGTTCCACAAAGCTCATGGCAGCTACATAGATACAGGCTCCAGTTTATGTACAATATATCAGAATTGAACCGAAGCCAGCCTCAAGTCATAAGATTTGGAGGGGGAAATCTAGCACTACCTTGAATCCTGTTTATTTCAGCCTTCTTCCACATTCTCCTTTTCTTCATGCAGGAGAAAAACTCAGGTATAAGCTACACACCTATTCATAATGTCAACATGCAGCAAATATCAGTGGTCTCATTTTACAGTGGTCTCTCTCTCTCCCTCCCTCGTGATTGAACTTTGCCACAGACAAATTTCTTACAATTATGCAATAATTGTAAGAAACCACTAGATTTTGTGACATTCCAGCAACATGAGTATAAGGATTAACACCATCATCTAAGCATCTCAGTGGATTTAATACATACTTGCAATAGTGCAACTGATTCTTCCACGCCCAGCGCCAATACAAGTACAGTCCCAGATCATGGAATCCTTTGGGCGTTCATAGGTTTCCCCTACTTGATAAGTAGTCCCAGTGAATTTATCGAAACAGGTTTCTTCCGCTGTGTACAAAGAAGGGGGGAAAAATCACCACAGATAAATCTACCACTTGCAGCTTCTAATCTCCTTTCCCTACCTCATTCCTGGTGGCCTACACACAAAAATTAATGGTGGCATTGACTGCTATTGTTATCATAGTGGCAAGCAGAAGCTTTTTGGATGCTAATGATCTAGCTAAAGACAAAGAATAGGAGAGGTGCTTGGACCAATGAAAGAAGAAAGACAACTAAAAAAATCCACGTTAACAGTAGAAGGGACTCTCCAGGCAATTGGAACATTTGTATAAAAGCACATTTTTTAAAATAAGTGGAGAAAATAATAAGAAAATGCATTTGACCAAGAGATACAGGAGAGACGTGTGGAAAACCAAAGTTCAAATATTTGGTCAAATATTTAGTCCCTTACTAGATTAGATTATAGGAACCAAGTAAATGTCTTGTTATCCAAAGGGCTGTCAGGTGAGTCTGTCAAGATGAATTGAAACTGGAGGCTACCCTACTATCATGGTTAAACAATTTCCCAGTGAAGTGTTCTTATTTGCCTCCATACAAGGAAAGAGATCCATTACGGCACTTTGCCCTTAAGAGACTTTCCAGGCAACAGAGATGGTATTCTTGCCCAAGTTCTAGTCACTTTATGGAGAAGAGAAAATGAGAGATGTTATTAAAATTGTTCCTCAATACTCTTTATCACTGTAGAACTCAGAAGGCCCATAAGCAGGTATAGAAGCAAGATTGGCAACAGCACATTTTGACAGAGCACATTATCAAGAAGACAAGATAGGCAAATCGTGTAGCAATAAATGAATAAAAACTATTTTCTTCTGCTGCTAAATTGAAATCTCAGTAGCCATCAGGAAATTATTTTGGTCAGGTGGAAAAAAAAGCTTTTATAAGACAATATTGGAACCCACAGAGACATGGTGTGATATATTTACAAGGTAGGTGAATAGATAACATTACTTATTGTTATGCAAGTCTGTTGTCTGATTAATCTGGTTCTACGGGATTAGTTTCAACTTTTAAAATATGAATGTGTGAGCAGGATGTTAGAAGCTCCCAATTACACATCCTTTTTAGACCTTCCCATTATAGCTAATTCATTTCAGTAGATTGCCTAGATGAATCTAGTAAATATATTTTTACTGGGGAAGCAATAAATGCCAGCCATGTTAAAAGAAGAGATAGTATGGCTTCAAGAAACCCACAGGAGACGTTGAGTTCTTAAAAGCAATCAATCAGTTGCTAATATCCCCTAAGGGACTATTTGTGCAGTTGATGCAATGCAGCTCAGACATCCTGGAAGAAATAGACTCTCTGGACCTATTTTAGTCTGGGCACAAGCCTGGATATATGATCAAAACATGGTCTCCTTCATGAGTCAGCCATGAAGATTGGGAAACCAAGGCAGAGTGCTGTGGTGACTCAGTTCCTGCTGACAGACTGACACATCTAAGGCGTGTCAGGTTGGGTTCAAAGTAGACAAGATGGCAGTTGCAATAGCAATAGCAGTAGACTTATATACCGCTTCATAGGCCTTTCAGGCCTCTCTAAGCGGTTTACAGAGAGTCAGCATATTGCCCCCAA